AAGGAATGTTGAACCTCGTGTCCCTGAAGCGAGAACGATTCACTGGACCACTCTGGCTCGTGACAGGGACGAATGGAGACGTTACACTCGCCCGCTCGAGGAAGTCGATGATCAACGGGACGACAGGTGATACAGGTAATTCCCTCAACGTCTCTTCAACGTCTTCAAAGCTGGAACATTGCACCACTCAAGGGAACAAAGTGGCCACCGATCGGTCATCCACACAACAGATAGGTATAGCTAATCGGTCATCGGCCAACATCCTCACAGCGCTTCACACGAATACCTCATGTCTGAAGGGAAAGGACATGTGGATTAACGGCGCATAATGTTGAAGGCTCCTGAACGGGATTGCCAGTTTCGGACTTTACTCTTTCCATGTATTCCTGCCATGTTGCCTGTTTTCCTTCTAAATTTGAACGCCTTAAGTGCGATGAACAATTCACGCATGTCGCGCCCAGTAGGCGAAATCTACGCCTGGCTCCTGCCATCAGTTATCGCATCATGCCGCCCGTATCTCTTCGAAATTTGAACTCTAAAGCGATTTTCGAGCATGTCCCGCCACTAGTGGACGGACTGTGTTCCTGCCACCTACTCTCAGAGTTCCCATCCTGCCGCCCATCAAGCTCGAGCGCTTTAGGTACCCGGGGACAGGAATTGTGTACTTCCGTCAGAACCACTCTTATCCCACGCCATACCCTCCGTGGGGCGGAATCTAGCTCAGATCATGTGTTCCTGAATAGTTCTACTCATTCTTCACTTACGTCAACCTGGACAATCTGTTTCACTTCAGCAAAAGCGTAGGCACCAATATAAGGTGGAGATAAACACATCAAGATACGAACGCGTGCACCACATGCCCACTACCGCTTACCTACGACTTGTTAAACTGCCAGTACAAACAGTATCGGTTGACTTTCCATTTCATAACTGTTTTCTAATCGCGATCACGTGACATTCACCCTCTTCATCGTGCCAACGTGACATTTGGAAGGACGCCCAAACGGTTATCAAACAGACACACAAACTAACCGCTTTATATATAGCCGTTGGATAACGTTCAAGGACTTTTTCTATAAACTCTTTTTTTTTCGCGTTTTAGAACAGTTCAGAACATTCTTGAATGTCACGTAGTCAGCCTAAGCACCGCCTACCGTGGTGCAAACCCAACCCACTCCGGAGATTTGATCACATATATCCTGAACCTTCCAACCTCTTTTTTTTCTTGCGCTGTAAAACGTTTTTGAACAGAGCCATGAGTTTTTGATTCCAGCCCCGCCCACCTCAGTGCAGAACCAACCCACTTTTGAGTTTTGGCTACATATCTTCTACCAGTTTGGCTATGCACGCTAACGCGTGCAGTATATTTCGACGGCCACTTATCCACGATGGAGCCATGCAGCGGAATTTTGGATGATCAGATGAAGATAGTTCTCTGTAGATTAGAACGCTGAACTGCTGAGAGCATCACGCTCGATATATTTGAGCAGAGTTATTAGTGGTTGATCATAGCGCCGTCCACATTAGTGCAAACCCTAACCACTATAAACTTGACCACCCTCCTTTTAACTGCTCCTAACCGTTTTTCCGCATTCTGGAAAGTTTTTGAAGGGATAAGTTTTTGGTCCTAGCCACGCTTTCCTGTGCCAGCTCCGCCTACTTTAGGGATTTGACCATATTTGTTCCATTACCTCTAACCACTTCTTCCTGCGTTCTAGAACGTTTCTAAACAGAATTAAGAAATTTTGATCTAAGCCCCGCCCACTTCGGTGCCAATCCTGTCCACTTCGAGAATTTGGCCACATTTGTTCCATTACTCTTGCCACTTTTCCCCCGCGTTCCAAAACGTTTCCGAACAGAGTTATGAAATTTTGATCTAAGCTCCGCCCACTTTGGTGCCAACCCCGCCCACTTCGAGAATTAGACCACATTACCTCTAACCACTTTTTCCCGCATTCTAGAACGTTTCCGAACGAAGTTACACTCATTTTTAAAAAGTAGCTTCCACCTTAACG